CCAGGGGACCCAATGCACATAGCACTTGTCCTCCTTCAAATTTGTGCAGTGGTTGCTAAGCAGCGTGGTTTGATAGTTAGTGCCTACCACCTGCCTGCTCTTTCAGAGGAGAGAAACTGGAGTAGTAGCTGTTGGCTTGCTTTGTTGTAAATGACAGCTGAGGGGTGCCATAACTCACAAAAACACAAGCCAGAGGATACTACAGTGGTGTCTCTCCTGAATAGCTGGTGGGCAGGTCTGGGTTCAGTTGTCAGAGTAGCTAGTGTAACAGCTGCCAGCTTATGCTGTTGGAGGTTTATGTTTTTGGAAATGATAGTGCTCCTTGCCATCATTCAAAACGACACAAACCATCAGCCACTATTGTAGTCTCTCCCTGTATAGCTGGCGGACAAGTCTCGGCTTAGTCTTTTCTATCACTTCTTTTACAATAAATTATTTTTAGTACTAAAAAGATGGCAGAGGAGGTACAGCCAGGGCGACAGTAAACTTGGCACAAAGTGAAGACAGCATTTTGGGAGAAAAACCCCAAGCCAACTGTGAAGCATGGTGGTGGAAATGTTACGGTTAGGAGGGGTTGCTTTGCTGGTTTAGGGCCTGGGCAACTTAGTTATTATTTCAATTAGGGCTTCTGCATCATATCAAAGTGTGCTTGACATGAATGTGAGGCTATCCCTCTGAAAACTGAGGTTTAACTAAAAAGATCTTACAACAATAATAATCTGCAGCTTACTAGTAAATCCAACTCCAAATCCCAACTGTGGGATTTTTGCATGGAACAATGGTAATGCTGAGAACCTTTTCCACAGTACACCATTTCATCTATTCAAATGTTTGTGGAATAAATGATTAAGAGGGTGACATTTCCTTATTTTGTTTAAAGGAGAACTATGGGGTCACTGCTTTTCCCCATAGTTCTCCTAAGGGTCACGTAAGAACACAAACTAGCGTCCTCCCGTGACCCAAAGCAACAGATCGCGGGATACTGAGATGCAACAGCCGGAACGGATCCCGACATTGCTGTCGAGATCCACCCAGCTGCGGGTTTGACAGCTGGCTCTACCTATCCAGAGGCAGAGCCAGCCGTGCCCTCCCCGTCTGTTCCGCCAGTCAGCGCCGGAGGATCGGGGAGGGGGGGAATCTCTGCAGGGATAGATTGAGCAGTGAGCGAGCGATGGTATGTGTTCGCTCACTTCCCGATCTACTGTGCCGACCTGTGACAGTTTCATTGTCACAGGTCGGCTCAGATTATGAGGCTGAGTGAAAATCATAAATCACTCGCCTCATAATTCTCCTTTAAGTATATCACCTTAAGAATTTTATCTGTAGGCACTGTTTGAAAGAAAATCTAAAGTTTGCCTGTTTAAACATGTTGAAGTAAACTTCCATGGGGTGTACTTAATTTTTCACATGACTATATATACAAAACATTTTATATCACAGTTACAGCTCCAAATTTGTACTTGATAGCACAACGCTTTTTTTTATTTTGTTTTTTAAAGCTTTAGAATACCGCTCAAAGAGGTACTATTATAAATTAACCAATTAACTGTCTAAAGCAGAAGTCCAGCTATTAGCACACAGGCAAAACTTGCAAACAATAAGTTATCTCTGTTTGTATGTGGCAAGCAATGGAAGCAAGTTCATGTGCAATTATAGGTGTATAATCAAAATAAATGGCAGTGCTTAAGATACAGCAGATTCCGCTGCAATATTTAGCTCCTTGGGGGCACCCGAAGACTCACTGGTTCTTGCTGTTGCTGTTCTGGGGGTGCGTCACCATGCCACCCTGGATTCACAATACTTCTGTAGTGAATGACACATGTATATCATTACGACACTGTTGTAGGAGCTGCGGACAATCGAAGGAAAGAATAGGACCCTCTTCCCTCCACATCACATGAAGCCCATCTCTGAGCCAAATTGGAGACTCCTCGCCTTCCACCACCTCGCTCCAATCCCTTCTTTGTCAAGAGAGACCTTCCTAATCCTTTATTTAGTTGCCTGAATTTGCAGTAAGGTGACCCTCCTCAGTGCCTTTTCTAGCAGTGGACCAGTAATACACTGCTGCAGTCTGGGCTCACCTCCCCTCATGGTGCACACAAATACGGACCGCACAACTTTGTAGTGGGAAAAAAACAAAAAGACTTATCACATGACCACAGATTTAGGTGTGCATTTGCCATTTTTTTTCGAGGTATGGGCTATTATTCATGGTGAGGCACTTCCTTGATCAGGTTTCAACTTTATGAATGTAGCAGGGTTGACTGCAATAATGCTCTAACATTTGACCTGCTTTCGTGAATCAAGTGACGCAAAACTAAATGTCCTAGTAGTCAGTATTAGATGGCAATTTCCTTGCTCTTCATCTTGATCTTGTGATATAAAACGTCTGAAATGTGCACTCACCAGCTGTTTGTGGTCACCTTTTTACGGCCTGACCAAAGATTGCTTAATTTCTCCTATCTTTCCTCCGTGGTGTATCCGTCCAGTTTGCCGATTAAGAATTTTCCCAAATTGCCTCTATCAGATCCTCTATGATCCTATGTAGTGATATAGCATTCTTGCGGCTTCCTGCTTTCCTCTTATTAGAATTGGTCACCGATAGCTCAGGGAGATAGAAAAGTGTTCTCCATTGTGCAGTATTTTAATAAAACATTTATTAGTAAAAAGATATATTGCACTTGATAAAACACTCAGCTGAATCATACTGCTCTGCAAGTTGTGATGTACGTATGCTCCGCCCACCGACTAGTTTCTCACTCAGACTTCCTTTGACTGGCTTTGCATTTTTTGGCTACAGCTGGCTTTATTGAGACCCTTTGCCTTATAGCCTGTCCTGTGTTCAGCTTTCAAACACATTAATTTAGGTAGTGCTACAATCAAATGCAATAAGCAATGTTTGTCGGCAATTCCAGTCTACATGAGCTCTGAGTTTTATTTAACTAAGCAATGCCTGGTCTGATATGTACTGCTTAATCTATAGTAGTGTGTACTCAGACTTTCTAAACAGAGCATCAGTTCACTGTCCTTTAGGCTTTAGGGCGGGCCAGCCTGTTTCCAATGTGTGGTAGAAAATGTCCCAGGGTGAATGGGAGTAAAAAATGCCCCAGGCTTCGTGGTCAGTGAGAGACTAAAAAATTACCAAGTCTCTGTGGCCATTGGGAGGAGGAATAGTGCCCCATCGTTTGTACCAGTGGAAGGAAAAATGGCTCATTGTTGGTGTCAGTCAGAAAAATAATGCTCCATTTTTGGGTGGGGTCAGTGGGAGATATGATTACTAGGGTGCACCGAAATTTCAGCCGCAAAAACATTTCGGCTGAAGATGGTACTTTGGGCAAAAATGCTAAAAGTACGATAACGCTCTAAAATGCAGCCGAAAATTCTGTGCATTCCTAAGTTCTCTCATCCCTGCTGGGCGCCGGTCTGTGTCCCGTCCGATCCCCGCTGCTCTCCCCCCGCCCGTGTCGGCAAAAGCAGCAGTGATCCGAGGAGACAGAGACTGGCGTCCAGCGAGGAGGAGAGAAAGTTTCAGGAGGCCAAGTGGGGAGGAGACAGCTCAGGATGCTGAGTGGGGTGGAGACAGCTGTCACAGCAGGCCGAGATCTCCTCCCACACCACCCCGCTCGGCATCCTGACTCTGCTAGGGGAGGAGTTACCTATCAGGAGGCTAAGCTCTCCTCCTGCACCATCTGCTCAGCCTCCTGTGACAGCGAGTCAGGATGGAGAGTGGAGTACAAACACTCAGCGATCAGCTGATCACTGAGTGTTTGTAAATAACTGTGGACATAATATGCTTCGTGTGTGCCGAGTTATGAATGAACAGGAAGTGCTCTACATCCCTTCCTGTTCATTCATGGTTGTGGACACAGTAACTCATATTATCTCCATAGTTTATAAATGGACAGGAGCACGCCGTACAGGAGGCTTTCTGTTCATTCATAACAGACTGGACTCTGTGTCCTCAATTTCTTTTTTTGTATTTTAAAAGGAAACTATCAAGAATCTGTTTAGACACCTGATATTTCACCAGAGCCCCTGACTGTAAAAAAAAAAAAATTTAAATAATTTTTAAAAATGTAAACAAGTTGGGGAAAAAAACATAATTTTTGGTTTTGGTCTAAAAATTCTATTTTGGTGCATCTCTACTGTTTACTCATCATTGGGTAGTTCCCTTTCGTTTGTGTAATTGGGAGGACTAGTACCACATCATTGGTGCCAGTGGAAGGAATAGTGGCTCATCGTTGGTTGTCACTAGGATAAATCCATTGTTGGCGTTAGTTGAAGGAATAGTGTCTCATTGTTGGTGTCAGTAGGAAGGATAATGACCCCATTTTTTGGTTCTCATCAGTGAGAGGACTAGTTACATATCACTGGCATCAGTGGAAGGACTAGCTCCCCATGATTGGTGTCTCTGGAAGGAATAGTACCCACTGTTGGTGTCAGTGGAAGGAATAGTGCCTCATTGTTGCTATCCCTAGCAAGAATATTGCCTCATTTTTGGTTGGTATCAGTGGGAGGAATTGAACCCATCATTGAGGTCAGCGGAAGGACTAGTGCCCCATTTGCAGACATAGGCAAGCAAAGGGCTGCACATTGGGGACCACTGATGTAGAACTCCTATTTTGTTTTCTTTTTTTGTGGTCTGAATGTCTACCTACATGAATGACCCATGCAGACTCTACGGCCACATCTATATGTAGGCTCTAAAAAAAAGTACCCTAACTCCCCTACTGCACACTGGTGTGTGGAAACATGTACATATGTTATAGATTGTCTATATACAACGCAATGCCAAGCCTAGCCGCACACAGCCTGACATCACAGCTCCGACTGCAACCCCAGCTTCAGCATGAGTGAGAGACTTCCAGGGAAGCAGTAGCTAAGATACCAACTACGCCGACGTCGCCGTCTATAGAGGAAATGGCGAAATCATTATAGTGGCTCTTCCCACCGGATGTGACGCAATTGTGAAAATGCTCTACCTCCTCCTATTCTCTTGACGTCTCCACTTCCACGTCTCTCTAGTGTGCCTGTGTCCCGGTGAAGTGTGCGGCTTCCCTGTAGGGGAAGAGGGACCGGGTCATGGCGGCTGTGACCGGCTCGGGGGTCACTGGCTCCCCAGCGGGGCCCGGTGTGAAGGAAGGGGCCCGGATTGGCGTGCTCTGCTTGCTCTGGTACTCGGTGAGCTCTGGTGGTAACGTGGTGAACAAGATCATCCTGAACAACTTCCCGTACCCGGTAACGGTGTCCCTGTTCCACATCCTGGCCATCTGCTGCTTCCTTCCCCCTATGCTCCGAGCATGGGGGGTTCCCCATACCCAGCTGCCTGCCAGGTATTACCGCTGGTACATCATCCCGCTGGCCTTTGGGAAGTATTTCGCCTCTGTGTCTGCACATTTCAGCATTTGGAAGGTGCCCGTCTCCTATGCCCACACCGGTAAGTGCAGAGCGAAGAGAGACATTGGGGGCTGTGAGGTGGGGGACAGCTGTGAAGGTTGCTCGGGGGGTTATTGCTGGAGATTCAGTGGGGGCTGATGACACTGGCCACAACAAGTCACCTCAGAAGATTGCCCACTGTGGGCTGAGCTGTGGTTTCTTAATGATGCTGTAATGCTGATAACACAATTATGTAAGACTCGGGCGATCTGAGAACATGACCATGATTGCTGTGCTTGTCAAAGGCTGCATTCACCCTATAGCCTCCTGTGTTTTAGCTTATTCAAATACAGGAGACATTATCTAGGTGATAGAAACACAAATCAAAGGATGCAAGTCCACTTTTTGTGTGGCCCAAATGCCTTTGCAATCCCAGCTGTTACCATATGAGTAGGAGTGATATAATAAATGAGAGCAGAACTGTAGGGGGGACCCAGCAGGCTCCACCCACTACCAGTGTGGATACAAGACCAGTCACCCTGCAGGAGGAGAAAGCAGCAGTGACTGGTCTGTAATACTAGAAGCTCTTGCACAGAGGAAAAATCTCACACTGGGTTACTTCACAGATCTGGAAGAAATCTGCAGTAAACACCAATATTCAAGTAAGAGCACACATGCCTCTTTCATATAGAAACAATATTTGCTTAGTCGGGAGTTCAGCTTCAAGGCCCCATTTACATGTGTGATTAGGGCTGGACACGTGTCAAGAATCTGTGTGGCTCATAGGTGTATGCAAACAGTTCCAGCAGGGGAGCCTGTATGTAGTGATGACAGGAGCTATGGCTGTCTGCCACTGTTCGTATGTATTGGCGCATTCAGCGCTTACCTGCAGATAGGGACAGATGTGGTACTAATAAGTCCCTGGACACGCAGAATTCTAAATTGAATGCACCATCACACGGCTGTGTATTAGCCAAAGGCCTTGTACACACTTTAGCTTGTATAAGAGCAGTGTGTACGGTAAGCTTTTGCAAAGCGTTTGTAAGGTCCTGTTCACACTTGTGATTTGAGGCCAATTGGATGAGTCTTACAAATTGCAAATGGCTGCAGATGGGAAGTGTTATACAAAGCAGCACTTACGGCCCTCTGCACATATAGTGGCTTGCAAAAGTATTCACCCCCCTTTTCCTATTTTGTTGCATTACCACCTGAATTAAAATAGATTTTTTGGGGTGGCTTGTATTCAGGATGCACCGATACCAGTACTCGTACTTGCACAAATGCTCCGATACTGGAACTTCCGGTCAGGGGGGGACTTGCTCTAACCAGCTGTGTCGTGAGGCAACATGGAGCTGGCTTCTTGGCCAATCGGGAAGCTGGGCGGCAGGTAATGACTCACCGGCTCGATGCTGATTGACTGGGAAGCTGGCTTCCCAGCCAATCAGCATTGAGCCGTTTAAACAGCATGGAGTCGGCTTTCCATCCAATCAGGCAGTCGGTAGGTGGGTTATTACCTGCCGCCCAGCTTCCCGATTGGCTGAGAAGCCGGCTCCATGCTAGCGGAAGTACCAGTATCAGTACTCCTGGATCGGCGAGTACCGAAATATAAATATCGGTACTCGATACTGAAAGAAGAAAGAAGCAAGAAATAAGACAAACTGGAAACTTGATGGTGTTTCGCTTCCCATGAGTGTGATTTGTGAGAGACACCCAATCTACACAAGTATGAATGGGGTCTTTAGGCTTTAACAAGTATCAAGCATCTTTGCTGGGCCCTGTAAAGGAAACTTCATTTCGGTATGGGGATATTAAACACTGATTTATTTAGGAGTGCTGACTGTGACTTTCAACAAGCTGCTAGCAGACATTTATCAAGCTTTAAAGTGACACTAAACTCAGGAGTTACATCTTAAAAATAAATTCAAGTACATTCACTATTAACAGAAATGCATCTTATTTGTGTATCACTCAGGTGTAGATCCTCAAATCATCTTTGAATTGGTGCTGACACTGTCCTTCCTTCTGGAGGGTGACTACTTTTGTTCCTCATGGTCCCTCTGTGTGTTGTAAAGTAGCCACCACCCCAAGCTTGCTCCTGTGATGGACTACAATCTCAGTACAAATTTGTAAACGAAACCCGAGATTGCTGTCTATCATGGGAGAGCTTGGAGCGTTGGCTTCTTTACAACACACACAGGGACCATGGGGAACAAAAGTAGTCACCCTCCAGAAGGAAGGACAGTGTCAGCACCAATTCAGAGATGATTTGAGGATCTACAGCTGAGTGACACAAATAAGATACATTTTTATTATTAGTTAAGGTGCCTGAATGCAATTTTAAGGTTTAAAGGAGAACTATGGGGTTAAAGCTTTTCCCCATAGTTCTCCTTAGGGTAACGGGAGGACACAAACTAGTGTCCTCCCGTCACCCTAGGTTCAGTAGCTCGCGGTATACTGAGACGCCGCAGTATACCGCGAGCTGCTGTTCACGGTATACTGAGACGCTGAAGCGGATCCCGACAATTGTGCCGGGATCTGCCCAGCTGCGTGAGTGACAGCTGGCTCTGCCTATCTAGAGGCAGAGCCAGCTGTACCCGCCCCCTACCCTGTCCGTTCCGCCAGTCAGCGCTGGCGGAGCGGGAAGGGGGGAATCCAGCCCCTCCCCTGTCACCTGGCAGAGAGCCGTGACAGGATCGAGAGGTGAGCGAACGCCGGTATGTGTTCCCTCACCTCCCGATCTACTGAGCCGCCCTGTGACAGTCTCCTTGTCACAGATCGGCTCCTTTAATTCCTGAGTTTAGTGTCACTTTTTAAGTATTGCTGATGCTTGCTAACCACACTCCAATTTAAATCTTGGAGCTGAATGATGTCTTAAAGGCCTGCTCGAAGGTTACTGAAAGCTCTGCAAAATCTTGCTGTACGCACTGCACTTTTACAAGCTGAAACCCATGTGAGTGGCTAAAACTGCTATGCTATGGTGTTGTGTTATGGGGTGAGCATTAAAACACAGAGCATCAAGGGAAATGAGCCTTCAATCAACATATGGTTTGTTTTTCTTTCTAAATCTGGTAAAGCTGTTGTGCACCTGGTATAGCATTGTGATCTTCCCACAGAACCATTCAATGGAAAATGTATTTCTTGCTGTAGACAAGTCATTCTAGTGGCTACATAGCATTGGGTTCTCAAACTACAAATAGCAAAATAAGTAAAAGTGACGCGGCTTATAGCTACTAGGCTGATCAAAGTTTATTCTGTTCAGTTTATTTTCTTCACCTGCTTTTTTTCTGAGTAGCTAGATGCTTGTGTAGGAAAACATAATAATGGAAAGGAAGAGAATTACCTACAGTATGTAATATTATTGATGTGCTTTTGATACCAGTATAAATGCCACAATTATTTTTTTATTGTTAAAATGTAAACTCTGCATCACCACCCGGTTATACATTTAGAAAGACTACATACAACTGTTTTAAGATATGTCAGAAAGCAAAAAAGCTTCCAAAGAAATTGGACATCTCATGCCCTAAGGTTTTTGAGGAAAAAAATAGATCAGTGTATGGGTCACCTTTTACTGGTCACATAATACTGTGTATGATATAGTTTTCCTTTATTGCCCCAAAACCTTTGCCTTTCCACATGTAAATTCACTCAATTTGGTATGTATGTATTACACAGTACTGTGCAAACCTTTTACGCAGGTGTGAAGGAATGCTTTCAGAAATAAGTGTTTAATAGTTTTTGTTTTTTTTTATCAATTAACAAAATGGAAAGTAAATTAAGAGAAATCTAAATCAATATTTGGGGTGACCACCCTTTGCCTTCAAAACAGCATCAATTCTTCTAGGTACAATTGTACACAGTTTTTGAAGGAACTCGGCAGGTAGGTTGTTCCAAACATCTTGGCGAACTAAGCACAGATCTTCTGTGGATGTAGGCTGCCTCAAATCCTTCTGTCTCTTCATGTAATCCCAGGCAGACTCGATGCTGAGATCAGGGCTCTGTGGGGATCAAACCATCACTTCCAGGACTCCTTGTTCTTCTTTATGCTGAAGATAGTTCTTAATGACATTGGCTGTATGTTTGGGGTCGTTGTTCTGCTGCAGAATAAATGTTGCAAGCGCACACTGCCCGCTTAGCATTGCAGTCATCAGAAACCCTCCCCTCAGCGGGGCGGGCTTGCGATGATCGGAAGTACGATCTACCTGTCCAAGATGGGCAGATCGTACGAGATTTTAATTACCTTACAACCATCGCACAACGAAAGTCTTGCGATGGTTGTAAGGTGTATGGCCAGCTTTAACCACTTGAAGTCCGCGGTGTTACACCCCCTTCCCATCCAGGCCATTTTTTAGTATTCAGCGCTGTGGTACTTTGACATTTATTCCGTCATGCAACGCTGTACTGAAATTAATTTTATACCCTTTTTTGGGGACAGATAGAGCTTTCTTCTGGTGGTATTTAATCACCACTGGGGGTTTTATTTTTTACTATAATAAGGAGAAAGTAAAGAAAATGAAAAAAAATAAAAACTGTTTCCCCTATATTAAATTATAAAACATTTATTATTACCCAATTGTTTGTTAAAATATAAGAGACGGGTTCACGTCGGGTAAAAAGACACCAAACATGTCAAGCCTTAAAATTGCGTGCACGCGCGAAACCTCAAAAAACTACAATACCCCAAATTGACCATCGGTGACTCTTTAAAAGCTTTTACCGCTCATCAGTTTAGCGATATCAGTGATTAATGGCCCTAAAATGATTGCTCTCACTCCGACATTTGCGGCGATATGTAACGTGTGTACGCTTGTCGTTTTCGTGCGCTGGCGCATATTTACGTTTATATTTGTGTAAACGTGGGGGACTTAAAGTGACATTAAAGTTAAAAAAAAATTCCCTCCCCCCCATGTTAATGTTGGCACTTACCTTAAATGATGTCTCTTATTACGATCTTCTTTCCTGATGTTTTCATCTGTCCCTCCAGCGGTGCGGCGGCCCTCCGATCCAGCGCTGACTGCTCTGCCCCACCGATCCAGCGGTGTCTGCATGCGTGTGCACGCGTCCATAGACTTACCTTGCGTCTCTGCTCGTCTCCTGGCCGAGAATCCGAACTGTGCATGCGCCCGCCCCAAGATCCTTTGCGACTGCATGAGCAGTGCCTGATTCTTGGCGCAGGAACGAGCAGCGTTAATGAGGCTAAGTTTAAGCCTCTGTTAAAGCGGGTTTTTTTAAAAACTTTCTTTAGAACCCCTTGTAAAAAAAAAATTATTTTTTATATGTGACTCTTATTTTATTTTAACTTTTATTTATATATTTTTTTTACACTTCTTGTTATTTTTACATAGGGTAATAACAATCCCCCTATGTGATAGCCATTATACAGTGACTGGTCCTCTTTATTGGGGAGGAGGGTGGGGGCGTTGATTGCGGCAGATCAAATAACCCCATACAACCAATCGGCTATAGAGCCGCTGATCGGTTGTATGAGAAACAGCCAGTAACGGTTATGCTGAAAGTACGGGCTTTTCCTGCCCGCACGCGAGCAGGAAAAAAATGCTGTCTGGAGACGGCAAACCGCAAATGGGAGTCTGCCGTCCGTTTTTTCTCAACGGGCAGACGGCAGGAGGATAAGGTGCCCATACAATCTTCCATGGATGGTCTTTCAAACGATTATCGAACAGTTGCTGGGACACCAACGTTTTTTTAACTGTAATCCTGCTCAAATTTTCTTGAAGGGTGAGGCTGGAAAACTTTTTCAAATCGAGTGAAAATCAATTGATTAGTTGCGTTTTCGTACGAAAAAATTGCAGCACATGCGTAAACGAAACTCCGTTCTGTCAATCTACAAAATTCTGTGAGATGGTAGTGCTAATGAACGATTATAGAAATTGACATAGGTCTGTGCTTGATAAGCTATTTGAGCTATTGGTTCTTGGCAGCAATGACTAGCTTAAGAATTGATGCTGGTTTGAAGCCAAAGGGTGGTCACACCAAATATTGATTTGATTTCGATTTTTCTTCTGTTCATTCACTTTGCAGTTTGTAAATTGATAAAAAAAATAAACAATAAAAATATATATTTTTGAAAGGATACTTTACAGCATTTTTCACACCTGCCTAAAATGTGTGTGTGTGTGTGTGTGTGTTATTATATTACATACGTACACACACGGTACCCTGCATTACGAAACCATGAAATTCTGATATTTACATCTGTGATGACTTTATTAATAGCAGTTTCATTTCTGCCACATGAGAGAAATAAGGAATGACTACTCCTTGTGCAAACAAATGCCTGTGCAGTGCTTACGACATCTTTTCTATGTGTATAATAGATACAAGCAGAAGTGTAGGAATACAAAGCATTCAAGCTACCTCTGTGGTTGCAGATTATGTATCACACGGCTGGACAGATGCCATGAGCCAGGTAGCTTGTATGGCAAAAAATTATAGGACTAGGTGTTTTTTTTTATTATTTCCAGTTGGGTTGGCTTCTAATTTGCACAAATGAATTCCTGAATTGTATGCTAACCTGACCAATCCTTGCTTGACCATTTCACTTCTAATGCTGTTGCAGAGAATGCAGATGTTGGAATCTGGCTGCAAGTGACTTGCTAACTTTATAATACTGTATTCATTTGACAGCTTATAGTATCATTCCTACAAAAAAAATTCTTAGACTGTACTTGATGCATCTTTCTGCTTGGCTTTTAGTACAAGCTAGACACATTTGGTGTATTTTCTGATTTACTGCCTCCTTTACAAACTGGTGGCGGCATGTTTGCTTTATACAGTGTTGTTTCCTGAATGCACTGCAACCAATTTGTCAAAAGTTGGATGCCAGCTGTAATTTTTAAGCAGCATTGTCTAACTGGCTCCTGGAATTTGTCCAGCCCTGGTGTGTGAGTAACCAAAGAAATGCACATGATTTTGGCAGATGAAGCTGGTCACATGTATGTATGAAATTTAGCCTTAAGACTAGAAACAGTTGTGTTTTTACCATTGCAGCCAGTTTTTTTTACAACCTTTTATTGTCCAACGAGAAATACAGGGATTATATTTGTCGAGCTATACTGCTACCTACAGGAGGTTGGGACACTAGCAAACATGCTTTCCCACCATTCGGCCTGGATGAAGCGTTTATCTGCTGCTGTTCCTCCTGAAGCACCACATGGATCTCCATTCTCTGGTCAGTCTCCTCTTGGGGCTTGTTCACACCATGTCCGGATTATGTTCAGACCAGAACAGTTTGTTCCTGTACCAAAAAAGCATCCCAATGTATCCCTATGGTAATTCTGGGCTCTGTTCACACCAGTGCAGTCCATTCCGGACCAGACAAAAAAAAAAAAAATGCTACTTGTCTCATTTTCTCTGGTCTGGAATGCGTGGAAATGCATCAAATGCACCAGACCGCCCATTTTAAGCTCAAATGTGGCAAAACGCAATGCACAGCGTTCCAGATCTGGTCCGGAAAATGGTGTCAACATGGCCTTACTGCCTGAAACCGTAATCAACACCTGCTGCCCAGGCTTTTGCATATTGAGGTCTTGCCTCAATAACTGCAATACCACTTTCTGGGCACAACCTGTCTTTGGTAAGGAACACAGAGGACAGTCGCACTGCTGTATGTAACCTCAGCCCATACTCCCTTACTGGTTCTAGGGGCATGTATCCGCTATCCCCACAAGGAATTGACACCTGTAATTTAGGACCCGAGACCTCTATTACTGTGTCCTCCTAGACATAGACTCCTGCAGCTCCGTCAGGCAAGGCCTCCTCCATGTCCACAGGAACTTTCAGGTCTACTGTGCGTCTATCTGTCTGTGCCCAGTTACTGCCCGCAGAGGTCCTAAGCGCACCCCAGCTCCATCTCCAGCAAAGTCTGCCCCTGATCCTTCAGAGCCTAAAAATCAAACTGAGCCTCGGGATATAGTTACTATCACTATTCATCACTATACTATTCAGAGTCTGAGTGTCAACAGTCATCCTCTGAAGACACTGATCTTGAGCCATCTGCTGATGACACAGATGGGTTGTTGCAAACCTAATTGATCCAGTGCATACTACCCTGCCTCTGAAAGATCAGCTTCCTGTTCCAGTCTTAGGGTCTTTTAAAGCTCCTACTGTATAGCTGCTAAGACCTTTCCTCAACACCTGCTTTTTGAGTAATTTATTGAGTCAAACTAGCATTTGGGGACCAAAAGCACCCTAAATGGTTGTAGGCCTCAGAGCTCTAACCTTCTAAAGGGTACCTTAGAAATTTGTCATCTCTTCCCACCATGGATGCACCAGTTATCCACATTAACATGCACACTACTAAAGGGGGTAAAGGTGTCCTCTCCTTTCAGAATTTTACTAACAGGCCGCAAACTCTCTTCTCAGATCCTGGTTTGAGCTGACTACAGTGGTTCTCTGTAGGCCATCAGTAAAGAGGTCTCCTTCAAGTGGACGTTTGTACTCTTCCTTACCTGTTATGGAATTTGCCTCTTCCTCGCCCTTACCATTTGGGGCTTGTGGGGTGTCAAGGGATTCTCCTTCTACCATGTTCCCCCTTTTTCTTGTAGGCTCTCTGTCATCTTCAGCCTCCACGTCAGTGTCTAGTCTCTAGGAGATACATCCATTCCCTTCCCGGAGAATGCTTCACTGGTGTGTCTCGGCACCCAGGAGATCCATCTAATTTACCAGAACAGACTGTTTCTGCTTACTCGGAAATGCTTCCGTTGGGTGTCTCCTGAGTTCTATAGGACATTCACCTCTTGGCAGGCCTGGGATCTCTCCCATTGACTACACAGAGTATGTCCACTTTGAATTCCTGTGTCTCTCAATGGGTTATAAAGATTAGATTGTTGTACTTGCCATAAAATTTGTCTAGTAGTCTATTGAGGGATAAAGGTCCCAGCCTTCTGTGTGTTTTTCTGACCCTGTGCATTGCTTTCTCACAAAACAGAGGCATGCTGGGTATAGGAAGGGCTATACAGGGGCTGCCTTACAACTTTTTCTGTTCATCTGTGTTCCAAACTCCTGTAGGCATCAGTATAACCTGACTGTAATAAAATGCATGTGTCCCTCAATGAACTAAAAGAAAGATTTAATGGTAAGTACAAAACATCTTATTTTTTCTGATAGGAATTCTTGCTGCAGATTTGTAAACTTGCTTTTTGCTTATACAGTAAACCTGACAGTTTAGTAAACTGGAGAATGGGACAGGACAGTCAGATGTAAGCACTGAACAGAAATCTGTAGGGCTTGTTTACTGCTCATTTTTGTCTAGGGTGTAAAATACCCCAAAAATACTCGGCTGGCTGCTAGACTGCAGCCTCGTTCTCCCTTTGCTCTGGTGGTCTAAGGATCTGTGAGTAATTGTGATTAATACAGCGTATTAAACATGAGGATGCTGAGAGACATTCCATCACCGCAGTGGAGGGGGAGGGAGGCGGCAGGGACCTGTCTAGCAGCCTAACGGGTCCGAAATTCAGGTGAGTATTGGTATTTTACACCCTAGACAAAAATGGGCAGTTAACACTCGCAGTGTGGGGGTAGCCCCACTGCAAGGGTTAATTTTTTCTGCCTGGAGTTCTTTTTTTAAACAAAGGAGCTGTTTGTATACTTTTTTTTCCCCCCCAATATTTATTTTACTCTTATTTTCCAGTGAAGGCCACAATGCCAATATGGGTGGTGCTGCTTTCTAGGATAATAATGAAGGAAAAGCAGACCACAAAGGTGAGTGTGGAGTAACCATCACATCACATTCAGTCTTGGTTCCTATTGGGTAGTCTCCATAATGTTTCTTTAACATATTCTTTATGTCCACCCAGGTGTACCTATCCTTGGTTCCAATTATTGGAGGAGTTCTGCTGGCCACTGCTACTGAAATTTCCTTTGACATGTGGGGGCTAATCAGCGCTCTTGCTGCCACTCTTTGCTTCTCTCTGCAAAACATCTTCTCCAAGAAGGTTAGTGTGCAGAGGTTAAGCTCCCCTAATTGGCAGGTTTGGTTGGAGGGTAAGGAGAGAAAAATAGCAGTGAAAATGGTGATTACCTGGATCTGGCCTTCCACACATCTCAGGCTGGTTACTCTGCCTGTAAGGGAGAATCCTAGAGGATTCCCTTGATGGGGAAGTCAGCACTTTCGAGATAGAGCATGTTGAAGCAGCAGGAATGTTGTACCATTTTGAGTAGAGCTCTGTTTTTTTAATCCCATTCAAAACTGGGACACTTTTTTTTTTTTTTTTTTTTTAATTTTATATTAAAGAATCTGTCTGGTATGCTTTTATTCTTTGCTATCTATCAGGATTTGATTATTTTGTGTTTTTTTTTTTGTTTTTAATTAATACATTTGTATAAACAATGATTTAATAAATCTAAAATTCATATTTAAAGATAAGAATATAGAAAAATGTAATTTAGAAATTTTACTTTTTCTTTTTTTTTTACAAAACTCTAGAGCCAAAATAAAACATTTATTCTGTAATCTATACTCATTTTATAGAGCTAGTAATTGGTATGATTAACAGTGTAATTGGGAAAGAAGGGTATGTCAGAATGACCTAACATTCAGCATGACCACTGACTATCTTTATTACATACCAGACCTCATTACACCCCTGCATATGGGCTGGAAAATTAGTTCAGTTCTCACTTCAGTCCAAAAAGATTTCATGGACTTTTAAGCAATATGTGTCTGTCTTTTAATTACATTGGGTCTCATTTTAAATGTAAGTATTAGGGATGCACCAATACCATTTTTTTTCAAGAACAAGTACTGATACCTTTCTGCCAAGTGCTTGCCGATACCAATTACGGATACCTTTTTTCTTTTTTTTTGTGGGGGGGGCAAATTTTTTCTAAAACAATACAGCTTAATGATTTTACAACAGTGGAGGAGCGCTAGGGTCCAGTCGCAGCTGCAAACGCTGCAAGTCTGGTAGTTCTGCCACTGACTCCAAGCTGTAGAGGGACTACAGATCCCAGCAATACATTATACAGCAATGCAGAATACCACCAGCAATATAGGACTACAAATCTCAGCAATACATTATACAGCAATGCAGAATATTATGAAGATACATACTGTGTTGCTCACCAGGGCTCTGCGGCGGTTTCTGACCTATGAATATTGGTATCGGTGCATCCCTAGTAAATATTCTTCATGCTTCTGTCTGGTCTTCTCCTGTTGCATAATCCCTCTGAATTAACTAGTCAGATTCACTGTAAAATCTACAATTCACACCATTTTAGATTTCTTAAACTTGTATAAGTAACATATGATGTTCTAACTCAATAGGTGCTTCGTGACTCACGGATACATCATCTGAGGTTGCTGAACCTTCTGGGATGTCATGCTGTATTTTTCATGATACCCACATGGGTGTTACTGGACCTTTCATCCTTCCTAGTGGAGAGTGATATGGTGAATTGATGTTTTTCCTAATTTTGTTGTTTTAATGTAAACTGTATTTTTTTACTTAATTGTTCTAAGGCCGGGGCATTCCTGTGTGATGTGTTAATGCAACCCGTTCATTTTGAAGGGGATGCCAACACATCCCAGCACCACCAGACCTCACCTGCCTCTATTTCATAATTTAATGTGGTACCACTTAAAAAAAAAATGGCAGCACAACACACTAGCACATGCTGTGATCTCTGTTGCGGTAACTTCATCACTGTGCTGTACATAGCCTATAATGATAGCAGATCGTTGAGAGGGTCCCAGCAGGCTCCACCCTCTACAGACTGCCTGCAGAAAACTACAGAAGAGGGTGGAAACCAGACCAGTCACTCTGCACAAGGAGACCGAGCAGCAGTGACTGGTCTGTATTACAGGAAACTCCTACAGAGAGGGAGAGAGTCCCACAATGGATTACTGCACAGATCTGGAAGAAATGTGCAATAAATACAAAGATTCAAGTAAGAACACAAATGCCTCTTGTATATAGACAATATTTGCATGTACTGATCTGAAAGAAATACAAGCACCCCAAGATTCAAGTAAAGACTCTTCTATTTAGACCGTATTTGCTCATCCCAGACTTGAGCTTTAAATAGAATTGCAGAATATTTGCATGGTACATTTTAGTGCTACCTTGTGATTTTAAAGGTTTTTCATATCACATGGTAATAAAGTTGTCACAGAATATCACAAGATCACCTGTCATGAGAACTTGAAAATGCTAGTTGCTCCAACCAGCTCTGCCTGCACTAGTTCTGAATCTCAGACTCAGGACGCAGCAAATAAGTCAGAGAAAAATCAGCTCTTTATATACATGTTTGGGGGTCAGTGGTTCAGAAAGTATTGAAGCTAAAGCATCATCAGGACAGCCAGGCAGCTGGCACTTTCAGGAGAAGACGTGAGCCATAGCAGACTTCATATCTCCCTTGTGAAAGGTGTATTTACCTATGTGGCCTTTACAGGTTATAAACTAGGTGCTTAGCAGGTGACTCATAAACCTTAAAAACAAACTGGATTCAGTAATGTCTGCCAATGGTTAAGAACGGGATTAACTAATGTCCTTAGTTACACCCAGACAGAAAATAGGTTACTATATAAAGAGGACCTGGCATTTAAATGTAACAAGTACTGTTCTGTAATCTGATGCAATCAATAAGTGATGCAGGGATTCAGTCATAAGAATGGATGCTTTATATCTGTGTAACAACATGACTTGTGGGAGTATTAGAAGAAGGGAGATGACGAATACTGCCCTACATGTTTCTGTATTCACTCATGACTTTGAAATTGGACAAAGAGTACTCTTATATTATACCCAAACTCTAACAAAAACACTTTTACTGCTTAAAAGCCTAGTCCAGCTTTGTGACAGTGTTTCATGTTCCATCCATATTTAGGGTCACATTCTTAAAATCCACTTGCTGGAGTTGCTTCTCCCCACATGCTCTTGATTTTCATTTGAATTTGGTGTAGCGGTTTGTGGTTCCTCCTGCACAGCAACGTGATCCATTCACAGCGACTTGTGAATGGCAATCTACAGGTCTGATCTTCCACTGTGGAAAAGGGACTCGCAGATCTCAATGGAGCACAAGTGCGGCGATGTCACCTGACTTGTAGTCCATTGATTACTTCCTCACCTCCTAACAGAGAGTCTGTACCTTGGTATGGACCTAGGGCTGAAGGAACAGTCTGCAGGAGCCTGAGCATTGCACCCACGAGCCTCTGGTCACCAGTGCAGTGCTTTCCAGGCCTGAATCCAAACATATATTAAATGCATACGTCTATTCTTTTATCAGTGTGTGTGCTGTTGTTGGGTTTATTTATTTCAGAAGGTGGACTTTAAAGGAAATATTTCCCAAGAGAAACAGAGGCATCTATTACTGGCATTTCATTCTGCAAAGGTTAGCTGGCTAGTAGGGATTCTGACTCTCTGGCTTTAATAGGTTGAGTCACTGACCCAGAACTACGCAGTTGTCCTGGAAGATTCCTGGAAACAGAGTTATCAGGTAATCAACTCATGTTTTTGTTTTTCCTTTTTGCAGAATTGCTCCAGGTTAGTGACTCAAAGTATTGAATCCATAGGGACAGCATAACCGCCAGACAGCTAGCTTTTTCACGAGTTTATCGATTTTATATTTCCTATTGGAAAAGTTTTATTTGAACAAAACAGATATTCAGTTACTTGTTGCTGGTAAGAATTGAACACCCACTTCTTTTGTGTCTCTGATCTCACAATGGCAACATGTGTGTGCTTATGTTACAAGACCCAATCATCTGCTGTGTCTGTAACCAAGGGGGGTAATAATTCCTATTTGAATTGCAGTTTTTACATATTGTGTTGAATACCGTATGAGGAGTGAGGCTACTGGGTGGTGAAGTCCATAAGTGGGAATTAAGATGGATAAATCTTGCCTCTGGATTCACCGAGAATTAAAAGGATCCGATGTTGGATTCCATTCCGCAGCATGTTCCGAAATCGGATTCGGGTGGACTGATCCAATCACAGGGTCACAAAGAAGATACACTGTTTACTTATGTTTTGGGTTGGTTTCTTGTACTTCATTCCTCTGCTTGTCATCCTCTACAGAGCTCCTTCTCTCAATGGTCATGGACACTTCTCCTCCTTGTCATCAGCGGAACTTGTAACTTTGCCCAGAACCTGATTGCCTTCAGCATCCTTAATCTTATAAGTCCTCTAAGTTACTCTGTAGCCAATGCCACAAAAAGGATCATGGTCATTACAGTCTCTCTCCTCATGCTTCGCAATCCTGTGACTGGCACTAATGTTCTAGGCATGATGACTGCAATTCTTGGAGTTTTTCTATATAACAAGGTGAGCGGTGCCCTAAACCCAATGTTTTGTTGCATTAAATGGGATCTGTAGACTTTAACATGTGTGAATATGGTCAGGTTAAAGCATGTGCACAGCCAAAACTTTGTTTTTTGTTTTCAGTTTTGGATAAAGTAGGGATTATGTCCGTCTGTGCCCCCCTTTTTTTTTTCTTCCTGTGTCTCATTGAGGAGATTCAGCTTCACTTGCTGTCCCAGAGAGACAGCAGGAAGTAAGAGGAAATCTCTCCAAAGGGATAGAATAGTACCTGTTAGACAGTTGTCGTCAGAACAAGTGTTTCCATTGGAAAATTTACTCTAGCCGTCTGTTTCTGTGACAACTCGCAAGTTTGTATTTCCCATCACCTTCTGTACCAGAGACAGTGATCTTTAAGACCAACGGAGAAGGTGCTTCTCCCAGCAGAGACACGGACAGAAAAAAAACCGGGTGTATTTGAGGTGCTGGATCTATTACTTGACGTTTCGTGGTGGAATAAAACCAGTTGCTTGTGTAGAGCTGCTCTCATAAAACAGGAAGCCTCTTACTGGGGACCCAGTACAAGGCTAGCCATGCACATTTAGATTTTTTCTTATCCCACAGACTGAACATGAGAAAAATCGCTTGATTCCTCAGCATGGCTGGAGTAACCTTCATTACAAGCTACTGTACTCAACTGGCACTCGCAATTCTATTAAGAATGTTGACCGTTTAGATCATCGTGTTTACAGGCTCTGTATGCTGATGATACCAGCTCCATAGTCTCGAAGTCGAGGATGGGGAGATTGTCTACCTAGGGCTTTTCCGATGTACTGCCTGATGAAGACACTCTCCTGTCCTTTGTTTAAGAGACGGACAGGCTCAAGTGACATCACCAGCATACAAAGCCTGTATATCTCCCAAGGCCCCATAGTTTCTAAAATAATCTGTATTTTAAATGAGATGCATTGTATTGTATTTACTTATATGCAGGCAACAATTTATCTCTGTTCCAGCAGTTCATACAAAAGGGCAGTGAAAATTGTGAACTGGTGATTTATTTCTATATATCTGTTCTAAATCTTGCATGACCATGTTCTTGTTTTTCAGGCAAAGTATGATGGTAGCAAGGAAGCAAAGAAGCAATTACTTCCTGTTTCCGCTGGAGAGATTCAAGGCTTGGATCAGCACCGTGAACATCCAGAAAAGCTCCAGAACGGCATTACTTCCTTCACTCCTGGAAAAGACTATCAATATAGTCGGACCAATATACTGACTGATCACTTTCAGTATAGTCGACAGAACCACCCAAATGCACACAATCGATATGATGTTTGAAGCATCTTCCCCATTGCTACCTACCTGGCATTCCCCCTACGTCACTTGCTACACATCACACTTTATCAAGAAAAAACAAAACGTCTCATACTTGTATTGATGAGTGGTTACAGTATGATTTGCTTGTCCATTGGAAGTGGTGGAGATGCAGTGTATGCTTCTCTATAGAGCATGATCAAAGCTTTGTCTGTTTTCAGTCCCTTGTTCTTCTGTATCAGGACATTAAGATATGTGAAGTGAGATGGATTTTAGTCTAAATTACTTCTCCAGCTCCTATGGTTGTGCATTTGTGTTCTCCCTACATCCTCAGAAGTATTGGAACCTTTAGGCTGCTGCATGCAATTGAGTCTTCAGCCTTCCTAAGAAGAGCATTATCATCTTTGTCTACTCCTGGCAAGCGCACACTGCAATCTACACATTACATCTGAACTAGCTAATGTTTGGACTATAAAGATGTACACTTGGAGTGAAAGGTGGTTATGATACCCTGCATTATATTCACATGAATCTGGTTATTATGGAAGGCATCTAGACCTTGGTTATGATCTTTTCCGGGAAGGTATCTATACATGCGAACATGGCAGCAAAAAGGTTTCGCAATCTATCCGTTTCCTGCTAACTTTTCCAGTACAATATAGAAAGTCAGGTTTTACCATTTTTCTTCCAGTACCCATATCTCCATTTTGTTTAATACTTCCATATGTTTTTGCATATCTAGACTAGCACAAGTGTTGCAGTTTCAGGACTACAAAAAAGGTCCACAGGAGGTTGTGTGGTGAAAGCAGTGCAGTTATGTGGCCAACCCTATGTCAGCTTTGGTCTAGATAATCCAGTGAATGTGAGTTTAAGCGTGACATTTGTGCTGTCCCTCCTTGTAGTTGGTTTGCCTTTGTGGCACCGGGGACAGTTTTACTAACTTAAACAGTGTAGCTAGCCCCTGTGCTTGGAGCACGTGTACCACTTTTTCCAAGCGCCTTTGGAGGGAATCTGTTTATACAGTACTGTGTAGCAGTTCATGTAGGTACTCTGCAGTGTACAATATGTACCCACTATATTTGTAGCATGCTTACACTGTCCCAAAAAAAAGGACCCATCTTTTATAATTTGATCTGTTTTTTGAAAAGCTCACCCAGGGAACGTAAAAATAAAGTGTAGTCTATTCTCCTTCACATTAATGCTTTAGGATTTCCTGAGAGGAGCAATGCACAATATATGCACATGGTTATGGTGAAGTTAAGCCAGGTATTAGCAATGCATGTGTTTTTGTACTGTATGACATCACCTTTTAAACTTGAGGAATGTTATTGATAATTAGTCTGCAGTTGTTGCCAGCCAATAAGGAAATGTATTAGGAAATAGTTTAGAAAATATAACCAAACAAGCCTTTCTTATATGCAAAGCACTATTTTTTTAATGGTTACCTATTGAACTTTTAATCCATGTCCCATCTTATGTATGTATATGTATATATATATATATATATATATCTATCTCAAGCATATAATTTAAGAAAGAAACTGCTACAACATTAGAAATGATTTAGCTACGTGGCCATATAAGGTTGGTATGAGCATGAAAAAGCAATTACAGTTGCAGTTAAGTTGTGCTGAGAAACTGACTTTGATGTCTAAGGTTTTTAAAACTGACAAGGTCTTGATGAGATACATTGGCTTGATGGGAGGGCAAATAAGTCATGAGATGCATGTTTCTCTATGTTCTCCCCTAGCTGCCCTCATCACTTTACTTTGCACTGGGATATTCCTCATCCCTGGACAAATCTTGGGGGGCTGATGCATAATTCTGACAGAGGAACAGCAAGCAAGGTAGTTGAAGGCACTTAATGAAAGCAGAGTTTTATACCAGGGATTGTTAAGCCTTGGTATTTACAGCCAGCTTTTAGCAACCATCTGAAATCTTTAAAGCAACCTTCAGCTCCAGTATGGGGATCACAACAAGGTTTGGTATTGTTCCATTATCTAAAATGTAATTAATTTTCTATAATTTTTAAGACAAAAAAATTATAACAAATTGACCAGTGATCATTTTAGAAAATGTGTTACTATGAAGTGCACTTTTCTGTGATTTGTCCCATTTATCTTGACACCAAAATAATGTTTGTGCTACAAAGCTTGACAAACGTTATTTACAAATCAGAACTATAGTCAAACTATATATTTACATGTGTGATGAAGACTACCCATGCCTATAATGTTCTCGTCATCCTCTCGTTCAGCCCACAGGCTCAATTGATCAGTAGATTCACTAAACAGCGTAGATGGAGGAATCTCTGGCCGCGGATATTGTTGCTGCGGCTATCTCAATACCTGAACAGTCACTGCATCTGATAGGATGCAGTCAGTGTTCAGCTGATTATTTTCTACCTTGCTCAGTTGATTTATAAATTGAATTGTCGAGTTGTGAGGTGCTGACTGGGCCATCCACGGCTCAAAGTTCAGCAGAAATCTGTCAGAATTAGAACAGTCTATGGCCATCTTAAGTCTGGGCTCTGTTTATCTAAAGCTGGCCATACACTGCTTAGGTTTTCGAAAGACCTTTCTTTCGTCTTTCTGTTGATCAGTGATTGATTTTGACTGTAGTGAGGACAAAAACCCGGGAGCAGGATGGAATTTTTTTTTCCTGATCGTACAAAATTCTAACAGCGAATGTGGTTTTCATTCGGCAAACTCCATTCATTCCAAAATCGAAAGTTAAAAAAAAAAAAAATTTAGTTTGACATTCATCGAGTGTCTTATGGCATTATCTGGTGATAAGGGAAGGTCTTAATGACAAAAGTTTGTTTGGAAATCTACTCGGGTATGGCCAGCATAAGAGCCATCTGGAACATTTTGTAAATCCTTTGTTGATCCTGCCAGTAGAATCATTAGATATTTACTTCCTTTGCTAGGTTGACTGCTCATTTTTCATGACTTAAATCACTGCAGATTTGTTACACCTTGCTGCTGCCTAAGTTGGTCATACATTTATGCATTTTTTTTCTTCCAAGAACTGGCCAAAATTCACACAGTGGGCACCCTTTCAGCCAACATCCCTTGATCAGCTGATCAAAGGAGGCGGTCAGAAAATCTTTGTATGAACAGAGCCAGCGGCCAATGTGCGGACGGCTCTGTTCAGGTATTCTGACAGTGGCTGGCGGCTGCTGTCAGAATACGGTGAAGGCAGCAGGAGATTCCTTGATCAGCACTCGTAAGCGATGGAGGAATCCGTAATATGTTTTTTGTTCAGTCTGCCGGTTGAATGAAAAAAAATAGAACAGTGTATGGCCAGCTTTTGTTAACATTGATGATGGCTCTATCATCACACCTAGCTCTCCTCCCC